CCGATTTGGTGAGCGACATCGACATTTGGGGAGAGTGTTCGCACTCCCATTTAGGTCTCAGCAAGTGAGACATTTGGTGTAGTCGGTGTAGGCTCAGTTGTTTGGTGAGTAGACACAATTGGTTTGGGGTTGGGTGTTCGCACTCCCATTTGGATCTCGACGTGTTGTGATTGGAGTCCGTTGTCATGAGTCCGTTGCCATGGCATACTGGGTGCAACAGTTGAGGTATTGGTTTGATCGGTGTCGGCTCAGTTTTGGAAGAATCTTCGCCGAGGTGGAGATTTGAAGAGATGAGCTCAGGATTCATGTTGTCAGGGTGGCTGCAGTTAACTCCTGGGAGATGAAACAATGAGATGTATAGATCGATATGCTTTTGGACATTACATTGTAAAAAGGTAAATATCAATAAAAATGATTTATTTTTCTTTTGAAGCTTGACTTTTGAAATTTGAACTTACAGTCTAAGATCTGCTTTTAATAGTCTATATTTCTGTCTTTATATCATCTTGCCTATTTGTTGCTGGAACTTCTTGGGTGGGTTGTTTATGTCAGTACCTAGTCTTTCATTATTATCTCTTTTTCGTTAATTTAGAAGGGGGCAATGACTTGATCTGTCAATTTAACTTGGTGTTTATAACATATTTGACCTCAAACCTTAAAATACCGGCTCGGATTGTCTCCAAGCTTTAAAAAAAACCCATCCTTCGCATCTCCGAGTATCCATAAGAAGTACAACATCCTTCAATTTTAATTTTCCATCATGGTACCTGGTAATTAGCAACTTTATCACCACAATTAACCTAGCTGTGTTGGTGTTCCTAACCATGCAAATAATTTTCAGCTTAACTTTGTCTTTTGTCCTCTCATGCAAAAAAAATTTGGCTAAATAGCTTTGAGAATGAAATTTGACACAACAAAATAATAATTTTCAGCTTAACTTTGGCTTTCCTGAAAAACACCATGAAACATGCACTTTTATTTTCCGAGTCCATTGAAGTTCTTCTGAAAGTGCACACGTTAATTCTCCGACTAGGTGAGATTATTCCTTTTAGAATGAACTAATTGTGGCAACCCAAGCTTTATTTTGGTAGAGCATGTAGACATCTACTACAGGTTATATACGTACCGGCCACGTACCTGGAACAATACTCCTTATTGTTGTTATTTTTTATAATATTTGAGAATATGTTGTGAAGCTATGGTGAATATGTCTACGCTTAGGCATGCCTAAAAGCCAAACAATACTCCATTTAGCTTAACTCTTTTTTCACATTGTTTGAGGTTTAGGAGTGAAGAACCGTTAAGTGAGGGCATAAATGTAATTCACAATGCACGTTACAACTAAACCCAATGTAGTTACCATTTTTTTAATTAAATAACTAATGAAGGAACTAGTTTTAAATAACTAACAAGATTTGATGGACTAAATAGCAATGTTAATGATTTGAAGGACTAATTTAAAATGTATAAAAAGTATAAGAGACCAATATCTTACAAAACAATATAAAATAAAGTAAAGCCCAAGATACAAATTTCTAGCGTGACCCTCAGAAAAAAAATTCACATTTAGAAATTAGTCCCCTAAAATCTAAGTATTATGAATTAGTCCACCAAAATTTCATCTTTTGAAATCAGTCCGCCATTCCTCTAAGAAAAAAAAAAGAAAAAAAAAGAGTCCCTCTTGTTAGCACCAGGTTGAAAGGTTGTTGCACCAATTTCAAAACACTTCAAAGAGTTGTGAGACTAATTTTAAAATATGAAAATTTTAAAGACTAATTTTAAAACACTTAAAAATTTGGAAACTAAGTACAAAATATGATGATCACCGGGACTAATTTCAAAATATGAAACCCGATTCCCCTCCTCTATCATAACTCAGTATGGGATCGAACTAAAAACCGTGTGAGCCATATTGTAACCTCCTAACTATCCTGATCACCCATGGTGGGTTAAAAAAACCCCTTATTTAGAACCAATTTTTTTTTTATATAATAATATATGATCATATGTTATGCTCATTATAAGTTTGAACACATTTGAGTACGATTTTAGCAGAAAATACTAACTCAAATCGAATTAAATTTACTTATAAGGAGCTTATTATATAATATTACTTTCAATGACTTATTTTTAAGAATTAGCTAATTAGCACTTAAATACCTTACAGTTTTCTAGAGTTGCATTGATATACCCTCATTTATTTTTGGCAACACTTATGAGCTGTTAAGTTTTTGAAAATTTTGCACTTTAATACCTCCTGTTATGGAAGAGTGAGAATATTCCCTCTGACATGTGAAACTGACATGCTAATTTTAAAAAAATTAAAAAATTTGCCCTTAATTTTTGTTAAATTTACACTCAAAGCTATTCTATTTTAAAATAGAATTAAGATAGACCTAATAGTAAATTAAGGGTTAAAAAAATTCTAAAGTTTATATGTGAGTATCACATGACAATTTTTCGAGGGACTTCTCACAATGGCATATATACAATAGGGTAAAGTGCAAATTTTAAATATTTTGAGGATTTATAAGTGATATAAAAAACTAACGATGATCAGCTGATATACAAGTGAAAAGCTAGGGGAAACTATAAAGATTCTCTATAAGTACTAATTAGTCTTAAGAATTTTCTAGGTATCCAATACCATTAAAAACCCAATAAACAGCACCTTCTTTAGCCTTTAACTTCGGTCAAACTTCTCAATGCTCTACTCCCAAACCGACTTAATTGCACTTAAATACCTTATAATTTTAACTATGTTGCACTTATATACCCTCATTTGTCTTAGGCAACACTTGTATACCTTAGAGTTTAGAACTTTTAATAATATACATTCACATGTTTATGACAGCACTCATAAGAATTTGGAACATCTTCGCTATTAAAAAGTAGTAAAGAAGCCACTACTTTTGATTACAACTGATAATTTCTAACAAATGATTGTAAAGTTGTGATTTATTTTAAATCTAACAGTCATCGTACCTGTTGATGTCAGTTATCAAACATGTAATAATTTGCAGGTTTTCGGAGTGATTAAGGTCCTCTAACTCCTTCTGATGTATGGCTCTGGGGTTTTCTGTTCTTCCTTGCACAAGAAAGAACTCGTAAGAGGCCGGAGTTGGGTTCTTCAAGTGTTCCTCTGACGATCAAGTCAGTAGATGACCTTGCGTGAGGAAATATAGACTTAGATATTAGTTGGGTAAAAAAAATAGAGAGAGTTACCTCATGCAACTCATCTCCTTTTTATAGTGGATTTGAGGGGCAAGAGGGTAACTTGGGCCGAGTCCAGCTAGGAAGCTCAGTCGGCAGACATGTGCTACACGTCGGTTGTTGAGGGATGTGAGTCACCAGGTCATTTATTATGGGATGATAGCAGGTGCTCGGTGCTGACTATATCCGATGAGTCATTAATGCTATGGGAGCTAGATACATGATGACTTTGTCAGAGCATGTAATGCAAGGACAGACGACTATCGACACGGGGTTCGAGAAAACTATCAACTTTTTTAGTCGTCTAGCTAATAGTCGACTATACACGTTGATGGCTTGGGCCGAGTGGGGGTTATTTGTAAAGGTGATTGGTCGGGTTGGACGACACGTACCGCATTTTGTCTTGGTTATGCGATATGCCAGCCGAACAATTGGTTGAACTGAGGCTGAGATTATTTTGGTTTTGACTTAGCTGTATAAACTGCAAGACACATGTCCACTGTTCAATGAAGATTAACAAAAATATTTTTTAGAGGTATAACAGTACCCCCTATTTATTGCACTTACTCCTAATTTACACTTAAAGAAAAATTATAACCATCCGACTAAAAAATCAATGATTGTAATAATATCCTGGTCACTTAGCCAAAATTTTAAAATATAGAAAATCAAAATTCGGCTTATATACCATAAAGTTTTTAAAACTTGAACTTAAATATCCTACATTTTTAAGACTCGCGCTCTGATACGGGTGTATCTTCTCTTCAGAACTTAGCGATCCTCATAAGAGCTTGAGGATAGATGATTCTCATGGTAACTTGAGAATAGAGGTGTAAAACAACACAGTAGAATGCGGGTTGAAGCGTGGAACGAGACGACAAATCGAAGAATCGAAACATCCAGTTTTTAGCCCGTGAGTCGACTCATAACAGTCATGAGTCGACTCATCAGGTTGAGTCGACTCATGCCTGTCATAAGTCGACTCATGAAACTCAGCGTTTTTGTCACAAGTCTCTGACCAGTCGACTCATCATTGTATGAGTCGACCCATGTGTCATGAGTCGACTCATATATGCACATGAGTCGACTCATTTAAGGATTCCTGGTTCGTTTGGGTTTCTGTTTGCACCAATTCCTGTGGGGTTTTAGCTTGGTTATTTACCACTTTGCCATCCACATTGTTACACATATATAAGGGATTGTTTTAGTGTTTCTAATCGATCAGATATAATCAAAGAGAGATTCTAATCAAGAGAGATTAGGGTTTAGAGAGAATTAAGAGTTTGTTCTCGATTCTAGTGAGGTTGTGAGAGAGGGATTGTAATCTTTTCATATCATAATCTAGAGAGGGTATTTTCCTTCGCCACATACTAAATTATTCCTGTGTTTCTGTCATCCTCTTCTCAACCCACCTTTGATAATTCCGCGATCAAAGGTGCTCGCACGACGACTCGTATCACACTCAAATATCCTGAAGTTTAAACACACTTAAACACCCTCCAGATTGCATACTGAGAGTACTCAAGTGCAAGTTTTAAAAAAAATTAAGGTATTTAAGTGTAAATATTTAAACTTTAGGGTATTTAAGTGCAAAATTTTAAACTTTAGGGCATATAACTGCTGTCAAAACAAGTGAGGATGTATAACGCAAAATTTTAAAAAACATTAGAGTGTACAATACAAGTGTTACCAAACAAGGGTATATAAGTGCAAAGTAAGGGAGAATATAGGGTACTTAATTTTAACTAAAAGCCAAAACAAAAAAGTCAAGAGTCTGCCCAAACCAGAGCGAGGACAAACCCAAACTTTGTCTTCAACCTCTTCTGCAGTCGTATCCAGCTGAGAACCCCAGAAAATTCCCAAGGCCGAGAAAAACAAAGCCCACCGATATTATCAAAACTATCGTGTACCACTCAAAAAGATTTCACCCAATTCTCTGCCTGAAGCCGAGATTCTATTTGGGGGTCCAGTTGAGCTGAGGCCAGGTGATTTCCGCAAAAATCCCCTGCCTACCTCTAATAATACCCTTGGATTGTTCTCCTGAATTGGGGTTTTGAGATAAGAGTCTTTGTATGGCAGAGCTCTCTCTCATGGCTTCTGCTGCTCTCTTTCCTGGGATTTTCCATCAGGACCAGGCCCTCTTTAGGCCACTACCCAAGGTCAGAGAACAAACCCATAATTTATTTTTGGCAATTTTACTACTTTTGTATCTTATATGTGTTTGGGAATTGATTTCTTGATATGGTGTTGGATATGAAAGCTCTGAAGGTGGGGAAATATGGGTTTTTTTTTATTGTGAGGTTTTGATTGGTCAATTGTTGAGTCTGGTAGAGAATTCTCATGGTAACCATATCCTGCTAAAGGGGCAATTCCATTTTGAGGTTTGAGCGGGAAATGAGAGAGATTAGCCCATGAGATGGTAAGTAATCACAGACTGAGTTCTGAAAAGATGGTTTAAGTGTGTTGATATAGACATCTGTATTTACAGTTCATTCTCTTCTCGATGTTGTTACTTTTGGATGATGTCAGTATTGTAGGAGGTATGCTTTTATTAATAATCAGATGTAGTGTATTTAGGGAGACTCATGTTTCATGGAAAAATGTTACCCCTTTTAGCGAACTAGACTCATGTTTCATGGAAAAATGTTACCCCTTTTAGCGAACTATCTGCTGGAGATGCAGGAGGGCATTCAGCATATGATGATAGAGGTGAATACGCTTAGTTAGATTTGAAAATGATGGGTGGGATAGTCCTGCGTTTATTGTTATTGGACATCTTTAGTACTTTCAATGGAAAGTCTTTAGCTTTACCAGACACTCATATAAGTAGTCAGTGATTATAAAGGATGGTTTGCGAGGTGTGGAAAGTCTTTAGCTTTACCAGACACTCATATAAGTAGTCAGTGATTATAAAGGATGGTTTGCGAGGTGGTAATAGATGTTGTTGCTACCCAAACCCATGCATTTATTATTACTTGAGATGTTGATGTCGTTTCCGTAGTGCATAAGATAAGAACGCTGGAGCATGGTCTATTATAATGATGGAAATTGGGAGCTTATTGATTTACCACAGTGATAATGGAAGTGCCAGAGCTTGGCTACGAGGAAGCTGGACTCACCACTTTAGAACTTGGTATGATCTGTGTGCATGTTTAAGTTGGATTATTGCATAATACACAATGTGTGGAGATGCTGAATTCTTATAATTCACTTTATCTACCTACCTGCATAGTATCATAGTTTATCTGCTTCAAATGGATTAGGGGCCCTCAGTGTAAGTAACAATTACAGAAGGTTAGGTCTAAACATGTAGGCTGCCTTAAATGAAGGCATCTGAAAAACCTTTTCTTATGTATTTGGATGTATGCTAATCTTGCAATCATTATGGAAGTGAAATGCATCACATGCTTCGTATGCTGCTGCCTTGACTGGTTGATATTTCAGAGGAAGGAAGGGTCATTGGGAATTAAGGATTCTATCAGACCACCCTATAGAAATAAGTGATCTATACCATCCACGGATGGTTAAAGTGTTAGTTTGGGAATTACAACTCCTCTATCTATGGTGTAGATCACCACACTTCTATAAGGGTGCTGATAGGATCCCTACTACTGATATTTAGGCATGAGAATGAAAAAAAACATTACCTACTGATATTTAGGCATGAGAATGAAAAAAAACATTACAAGCTTAGGCTGGAAAATTTGTACATTTATATATGCAGTTAAAGTTGCTTTTATTTCTAAATCTTGCAACAAGTATTACCAGTCTAGATTCTACTACACTAGTCAAATCAATAAAACACAACTTATCAAAATTTCACCACAAAGCCCAATGTACCAAAGGAACAACCGAACAACATTTTACTTATATTTATTCTTAACCAAAAAGTGTCAAAACCTCATCCACAGTGCCTAAACCCCTCTCTTACTTCTAGCTTAATCAAATAAAGGAGAAGCTATAAGTTATGAAATCTCACCTATGCTTTCATTTTTGGTTTCACATTATCTGTTTTGATGGATATGAAGCGTTAAACAATGAGATCCATTTTCATTTCACTTTCCTAAAGATTCAGTTCTGGCATGTCATTAAAATGCTAGAATATTTAATGGTGACGGTTATAATTTGCACCTTTCCAAGGGTTTTGGATAATGCATTGTTTATTGTTCTTTCTCATTCATGTTTGGTTTTGCGGCATTCTAAGGTCTTTTCAGGGTGTATATAAGGACAAACCAATTTTCAAGTTTTCTAGTTGGTCATTCTTGTTCTGCATCCCTTAAAACACTTTTTTTTTAATTTCAAGTGCCCTGTCAAGTCAATCAAATTGGGTACTTTCCTGTTTTGTTATTCAGGTCCCAATATTGTTTCTAACTAACGATGTAGTTCCAAATCTGCTAGTACAAACAATACATAAACTGACTCTTGACAGTACTATAACGAAACCTTATTATTGGGTATGTTTCCCTCTCAAAATCTTTATCTCACAGAGAATTATATTTTCTCTGTGGATCTCTTTAAAGAAAGTTAATTCTATAGTAGTTTGTGTTTTCTGTTCTCCATCACCACTATGGTTGTACTCTAGTAGCGTATGGATGATTCAGATCAAACTGGATGGGTTAGTGGAATAGGTACTGCTAGTAGGTGTTATATTAAATTCTTTTTCAATTTCAATTGTGTCCTGTATGTTCATGTTGTAACTTATTTTTCTCCACTGTTTGCACATTCTACTAAAACCACTAAGATTCTTTCTTGCAACGTTTTTCATGTGCATGGACATGTTTTTTCAGAGTCATGCTTTCTTATTTCCCTTCTTTTTCTTTCAAGTCTGATTTGTGTTATATGATGCAGGAGTTTCAAGCGTTGACACCCAGTCATAGCAAAAGACAAAATGAACTTAGTTTTGGTGGCGTACAGTTTGGGACACGTCATATTGAGGAACCATGGAAAATTTCAAGCCTGTTATCAGATAATCAGATATTTAGGGAAATGGCAGTTATAGGTAGACAAGTCCTTGTTGACGTACAAGGTTTGCCCCTTCACCGCGCTGGTTTAACTATAATTTATGACAAATGATATCCAGACAGGAAAATTGTTGTACCCGCTTTGAGTTGCATTGCCTTACTTTATATTGCTGCAAGAGATAGCTATCTCAGTTTTCCCTTTTAAAAATGAAAGAAAAAGGTGAAATGAGGAGATTTTCTAAGGAAGGAAAATAGTCAGCAGAGTAAAAATGAATGAAGAAACTTAATGATGACAGCATAGAAACTGAATTGTTTGAGAAGTAAAGAACTTGCATAAGATGCTGTGGGTGTGACATTTATATAGTTGATTTTGAATGTACCCTGTAGACTGCTACTTTTTGTACTCGCGAGTTGAGAGTCAAGTTGTTATGGTTGTAAAATGGAATATTTATTCGCATGCCATATTCCCATTCCTTGTGAAATTATTGTCTATATGATAAATAATTGACACATCCTTATAGATGCCTGTGAATTTATATCTCAAAAGCACGAATTCTTATTTGTGGGATTGATGGCTATGAGGTGGCAGCTCATTTAGCAAAATGAGTTATCAAGATACAGAAGTGGTGAGGTCCACACCTTTTGATGTGACAAGGAGGGTGGACCTCACCACATGTCTATCTCTTAGTAGCTCATTTAGCGCAATGAGCTGCCACGTTATACCCATTATTTCCTTTATTTTAATGCATTTGAATTTCGTGAATATGATGTCAGATTTGTTTTGCAAGCAGATGCCCTTCCTGAATCGGTGCTTTTCAGCTTTGGGGTTGCAGAGCAGTGCACTAGACATGAAAAGATCCTAAAATTTCTCACGTCTAATTCAAACATAACAGATGGAAATGACCTGAATATTTCCTTGATATCTGACCTTATGGGATTTCAAGCTGTTGCTGTTGACATCTGCCCACAATCACATATTTCTGAGGACGAGGAATTTTGCCCTTATGAAATTGGGACAGAAGTTTCACAGAAGATCATACATCCTCAGAAGCAGATTTACACTCCTAGATCCTTTTTGGATTTTGTTGGAAATTTGTCCCATACTCCATCTATTACAGTTCATCCAAATGGCCATGTCATGTTCTCAGGCAATGCAGCTGAGATGAAGGATGTACTTTCAATTGTTGCAGAGTTTAATATACCTAAGTGTCTGTCAGCTGGAGATAGGAGGGCAATGGTAGTTCCATACTTCACCAGGTATGATGTTAGAATCATTTATTTTTTATTCGAATTGTTCTTTCGCATCATTCTTTCTGTCAGCATAGCTAGTTTGGCTATCATAAAAAACCACAAACACACACACGCATGCACACACAGACACCAGCATGCATGCACGTCTGTGTATTCCATGCGTAATTTGTCTGAAACCCTGTACAATATGTATCGATCGTTCATCTTTATCAGTGTTGTTTGTTTTGCTCATCGTCACTAGAACTAGATTATCTTGTTTCTCATTTCCTTTTCTTTTGGTCTTGGAGGTTGCTAAAGTATAACACGCTTGTCTTGCTTTCGTACTTCTGTATTGCCATGATGAAATGATCGTGTCAGTTGAATTCGCTGAATGCTATACTCTTATTAGTTTGTTTGTGAAGAATGATTGAAGTATTATAAAAATTGCCTGATAAGGATCGATGCTTCAATTATCTGTTATCAGTTTTCAGTGTTCAACAGATAGATTGTTATGACATATTATAGTGATGTCTTATCATGTAGGATACTGCACAATCAGAACACATTATTCATTTTCCTCCTTTGTTTGCTGACTTTGTATATAAGTTATTTTATAATCTTTAGGCGTGACACAATATATTTTAATTATTAAACTGGCATAATGATATGAAAGGATGTGCCCATTTTAACTATTTATCGGTGCTTGCTGAAAATACGAAGAAAAAAAAAATACAAAATGAACAATTTATAAAGTGCAATCAGATGTCAGATAAATCTCTTCGTTTGACAGAGGATAGTTTTTATATTGTCTTTTCTAGTCATATTGATAGATATTTGAGAAAGATATATATCATAAGTACCATAGATATTTGAGAAAGATATATATCATAAGTACCATAGATACTCTATAATGCCTAAGACACAGTTGAAATTAATAGCCATCCCTACTTGATTAACAAGAGAGGCAACTGCGTCCATCCTTAGATGTAGATTTTTTTTTTGTTTCTTTTTTTTTTTTGGTTTTTTGTTTATGCATCCAGAAAGACGGAAGGTTCACTCATCCCAATTTCTTAATTCATTATTTATTGATAGTAAATTCTTTTTATATACATTGTTTCAATGTTGGCAGTTATCAGTATTGGATGTGAGCCTCATACTTGTTCCTACCAAATATATTTTTCTATACAAAATCAAACTCATTAGTATTTGTATTCATCAGATACAAGTACAGATGTTAATTTTCCTCTTTGTTTAGGCTCTTGCCTAGGCAAACTTTGAGGGTCTGGTCCTATGCTGCATGAGGTTAATTGCAATAAAAATGTTAGGAACACCGATCCACCAATAGTCTGATAAATTTTCAATGCATGAGCCTCTCTTGCTTGGAATTACCTTGGTCTGGATTTAGCACATACTCATATAAGGTTAATGTCGTCATGTTATGTTGACAACTGGTCATGAAAACTTTACTAAATTCTAATTTCTATCTGTGCAATTCTAGTTGTTCTCCATTCCCTATTTAGTGGGAAAAGGAAATGGATAATGCTAAAAATTAATTTTCTACGTAACCATTAAATTTGTTGGAGCTTAGCCTGCCTTATTCTAAAGTTCAACATATAGATATCTTGGTGTTTAATATCTCAAGGATTAGACTATCAAGTCTTCGAAGCGATTATGAGGGTGTTTGGGAGATTTTGGTCAGAGTAGATTGTAAGCAAGCTTATTCATATCTAACCGTTCGGTAATATAAAAAATGAGCTAACTTTTAAGTCCCTTTTGAAAAAGTTAGGATTTCCTAACTTAAGAAAAACTAGCTTTAGTCTCACCTAACAAAGCCAGGCTTTGCCAAGTAAATGACTATACTACCCATACAATTTTTATTAAAAATTTGTTATGAGAGCCAAAAGCCGTCGAAAGCTAACCCATCTTAAAAGCTTATAAAAATAAGCCCCCCGAACGCCATTTATAATTACTGGTACATTGAAACAAGCCTTTTATCATTTGTTACTTTGTTACCTAAAAATCAGAAGAAAAATTGCTGTTTAACTTTATAATCCTTGACTCAAGACTTTATTATGTAGTCCTTGTATGGCTTACTACCGAATAGAGATGAGCCTGATGCAATCTCAACAATTGGTATTTTGCAGTCTATCTGGACTATTCAATGGTACCTTATATTGGATTCTTGGTTGCTACTTTTTCTCTTATGTAGGCAAGTTCTACTTTCACCATTATATTTGATCATGCCTATAGGTATATGATAGTTCAGCTACTAGTAGAAGTTGGTTTACCTGGACTTCCGCTGCTTGTAAAAGGAGCGGGGATATTTTTTTTATAACTGGAGGCATTTACTTCTATATCGTTGCAAATTTGTGCCTTATATTCACGTACACCAGGAACATTACTTTTTCTTCAATTTTCTTTTTGGTATTTGGGATGTGATGAAAGAAGCATTAGTTTTAGAAATAATATCTTGTCCGTTCCTATATTTTTCTTTTCTACCTTTACTTATTTCTATTTTCTTAGGCCATAAATTTTTTGGTGTTATATTTATAGACCTATTTTCTGAGTAATAGACCTATTTTCTGAGTAATATGGTCTGCTTGTGTAAATAGGAGACGTGGTGGACATGCACGTGCAACCACTGAACTATCTCCTTCAGTCTCTCAGACTCAGACAGTTGGTCCTTCAAAGAGGTATGGATTGATTTCCTCATTACGTTTACCTAAAGAGTTTCTCCTACTTTTATTAAGTAGAACTGTGTACTGTGTAGTTTTACCACAGTATATTTCAAAATTTCACGTCTACACTTACATACCTGGTTCCATATGTGGAAGTATATGAACTGATGCTGTTACCGAGTAAACGTCAGGGCTCTCTTGCTTTCCATAGAAAGGGCACTCTGGTTAGTAAATTGTCATAGGAAAGTTGTTAGAAGATGTTTATGGATGCTATTCAAGTAAAAGGCAAAGTGAAAGTTTGCTTTAGTAGTTCAATAGAACCCTTGTGGGGTTAGTAATTTGCCTTCTGTAGTGAATGTAACTAAGCTTTTAACATATTATTTTGCTTTTTCCCTAAAACCCCCTAGTTAATTTTATTTACAGTGCTATTATTGTGTGGGCAATCCTACATATACAGCAGTTTTCAAAAAGGGTTTTTGGGTGTTGGATCAGATATGTCGGATTTTTCTGGAGTTATGAATAAAGTTATAGTGTAGAATACCATTGTTCATAGAATTTTCCTTAAGAAAAATGTGTAAGTTGATAGATCTCATTTCCAATTCGAATGTGTTGGATTAAGCTCTTATAATTAGCTAATGACCATGCTTTACATTAGTAACACTAACAAGTTGATAATATTAAATATGTCCTTTCTTGTGGGAGTTGATCCACCATTAATTGTAGTGGGATATCGCTCTCGAATAATGATGGATGTAAAAGGAACGCTGGAATTTTATCTTTTTGTGGGAATGGGAAATCTCCGTATTTCAATTTGTTTGTTTAACATTTTTTTTGTTTCTTTTTCCCTGCCAATGGTTACAAGTAATGGAGATGTTTTCTTCTTCCCACACCTTTAAAAAAAAGGAAAAGGAAAAGAAATGACACCTCCAAGACTCATCCTCTTGATCCAACTAAGTTTTGAGTTTATTGGGTTGCCTAGGATTTTGTCTACAGTGAGACGTTTTCCATACCTTGAGTTTTTGGGGGCTTTATGTAGGGTTTATGCTGTGTCTCTCCTCCTTTTCTATTGATTATAGCCCAAGGTTTGTTTCTTACATAGAGATCTAACCCTAAGCCCTCTATACTTGATAGGATTTCAAAACTTACTGGGATTACAACTCTATATCTTCCCTACCCATTAATTTATCTGTCAATTGTTTCTCATGCTTTCCAAAGATTGGACTTTGCTAAATTTGCTGGAACTCAGGATTTTGGATCCTCATCTTGTGATCCACCTGGATCAGCAATTTCATTCATTTATCCTCTTCTGCAACTGAATTTAATAAAGCCAACTTTAAGCTTTTGCCATATGTTGAACTTAGAATCAAATACTTATGTGATAATATATAGCAATGACCATGTATCTACAAGTCTATGAAGGAAATTAAATTAATTTTTGCTTAATCTTCTGTTTTGGACCTTTCTTTGTTTTTAATGCTTGTGCCTCCATTTGGTTTCAGCCCTGGGAAGACCAAGACAATGCATAAGAAGAAACAAAGCAGAAACCCAGACAGCGAGAGGTTCAGCAAGAATTATTTCTACGCCTGCGATTGTCTCTTCAATATGTATCTTGATAAGACTGGAAACAAAATGATAATCCTCTCCTTAAAGGATTCGGGCCCAGAATTAACCCAGCTCTTGTCCCAATTCTCTGCTGTCATCGTTGGAACTGGCCTTGCTGTTCTTTTCTCAGTTGCTCTCAAAGCAATGAATGGAACTGCAGCACTTCTTACTTCTTCCAAGCTGTTCAGTGTTAGTTTCGGCATTGGTCTATTTTGGCTATCAAGGGCTGTGAGCAGTTTGAGAGATACAATTTACAGCTTCAGTAAGAGATCGGGCAGAGGCAAGAAGCTAATTGAGGAGGCTGCAGTAGTGGAGAATGTCAGGACGAGCATCAATGAGATTCTCTTCAGATTTGTGGCGATGATGGCCGTGGGAATATTGAGCTTTTGATAATTTAAGCGATAAAATTGGAAAGCCAACGGTAACATGAACTTTTCTCTTCCTAAGGTAAATAGAGTCCTAGTTTTGTTTCATGTAAATTCAAAAAGTGCCTGAGATAAACAATGCAGCGTAGTATAAATTGACTGTGCACATAATAAGCACATAGAGATTTTGGTAGCTCTAAATATTTTATGTTCTAAACATATGAGTAGGTAGATTCTGTGATTGTGCAAGATATATCGGGAATCATAAATCTTCTGTTTTATTAAATATTTAATAAAATACTGTGAGGTGGCAGACTTTGCATCAACTGCTAAAAAAATACCCTTTTTTTTTCTATTCACTACCAATTGTGGATATCTGATGTTGAAAATTTACTGTTATAAACACAGTAGTGTTACAGACTTGAAGTTATTATGTGATAGGAGATGTCGTCCTAAATGAATCATGATGTACCTGATCATATATTGTAGCCTTTTGTCACAGAGGGTGGACGTTAAATGGGTTGCATTAGGATACCTCATTACATAGTACTTGTCATTCATTATATTCCTGATGTGGAATTATTGAACATACTACATGATAATTATTCATATTTATATGTTGCCTATATCAACATGAATTTTTGTGCGGCTCTGGTTGATAATTGAGGAGTATTTTTTTTTTGGTGACTGACAGGAACTTTATGTTTCATGTTACCTATTGTTATTTATGATCCATATTCAACATGAAAATTGCTATGGCTTTACTGTGAATTTCAGGTGATTGTTGTCTGGTTTAGATAGTGGGATTGTTTATAGAGGAAGAAAAGTATCTATGTCACTACATCCAGCAATTCTTCAGTAGATTATTACGATGAATTATATAAAAGAAGGGCGAGTAATTGTTCTTACAAGTAGATTACGTCTTGCATTTCTTTCAGAGCATGAAGTGTAGAAATCAAGGATTTAGAACTTAGGAGGAGATCTCCCCATTTTATAGTAGTTCTCCCAGGATTCCATCTGAGATACTTATTTCTTTCTATTAAGACCGCTATAATTTTCATGTATCATGCTTTTTATGTTATCCAAGTAATGTTAATATTTTAGTTAGTACTGGGTTGAGTTGGTTCTTTCAGATATCAACATTTCTGCTTACATGTTCATGACAGATATCAATCATCCAGGAAAGTTATGATTGACATAGAATATATTCCTATGATATTTTAATATTCGGATCATTATAGATCCTAGTACTAGACCTCGTAGGAAATGAATTATTGGAGGATATATGTTTTGGCAAATGACCATGCAAATATCTTCAATACACTGACATTTGATATATGCAAGTATCACACACCATGAAAACAAGATCATCATATGTCAATCGTATACGGTACCTCTTCATTCAGCCAAAATCGTAAGATCTACTGGATGTAGTTCCTGTGTGTCATCGACAAGCTTCAAGGTAAGTAGAAACTAGAAAGATTTGGTATTTTATCAGGCTGATAACCTACTGGTTAATGTTAATCAATGGTTCTGCTGTAGACACTTCCATTAAAGATTTTTTTTTTTTGATTTAAGCAATGTGAATGATGAACTGAATGATTACCAACTTCTCTTTACTAAAGTTCAGGAGACAACAAATTGGTGGAAATTGATCATGTTTAGTTGGCATGTAAACTGAGAGCTTGGCTGAAAATGTGTTTTGAGTGTAAACTTGGGTGATTCTGTGTGCGCGTTTGATCCCGAGCCTGGAGAACTTGGATGAAAATGTGTCGTACTTGAGTTTGGCAAGGATCAATGATTCTTCTACTTCTTATAATTGTCATTCTAAATGATTTAGAAGTGTATACTATTACATCTATTTTCTTTATATTCATGTTATGCTCTTGGCTGCTTGATAAATTGGAACTCAAAATCAAATTAATATCTATAGAATTTGACAGGTTTACTTTAGTGCACTTCAATTTTACTCCCATAGGTCACCATTTTGTTTTTTTTTCCATTTTCATTAACTTATTCATTTGATACCTAGCAGTTAGGAGTAGATAACCGTGTGTATTTTCAACAGAATTAGTTATAGATTTAAAATTAGATATTCGCTAAAAATAATTAGAAAATTTCATAAATGCTGTCCTATGATCAGCATGCCAAACATGGAGCTGACTTTACAAGCTACGAAGCTAGAGAGTAGCGAAAGCTAGAGAGTAGCGAAAGAACCTGATGCAGAAAACAGAAACAGCATGAGGAATTCATGAAGCAAAACCTGAAAACAAGTGAAAAAGAAGTAAGGAAAGCGTTCATCCTTACTACCAAAGCAAGCAAAAACACAGAGGTTACACACGCGAGAAAGCAACGTACAAGCTTGAAATACAAGAAAACAGAACACAGCTGATAAGAGTTGGGCAAATCACAAGCTGCCACTTGGCCTTCGCGCTCTTCGTCATCGTCGCTGCCAACATCACAAACGTGCCCTGAAAGCGCATCCAGCTTGGCAAACGCGCACACACAATCTCCACCCCCTCTCTATTTTTTGAATTTCAGTGTCTTTACATTTCAGTTTGTTCTTGCTTGTGGAGATCCGATCCGATGTATTTGATCCGAATCCAACCTGTAATCTCAGATATCCGGCGAACGTAAATGGTTACAGATCATATGCGGATTGGTCCGTTTATACCGACAAATAGATAGAACCTCACATGTCATCATTCCGTCAAAACGGCTGAATGTAGGTAGGGCTAACTGCAGATAGATCCCTCGTAGTATCGCTGTTTTGAATTTACTACCGCTAGCTCTGGTTTTAGTTCTTGCGAATAGGCACCCTAGGTGCAAGTGTTTCGACCCTTCATCAGAGCGTAAAAGAAAACAAAAATTACCCTCAGGGGCCCGTCTGCAAAAATAAAACTAGAGGGATGAAGTAAGTTCAAGAGTCGAAACAACGCAAGGATACTAGGGGAACTCATATGGATAAATCCCATTATTAAACATGAGTCTGACATATACAGAGATCGACCCGAAATGACTCGACTCAATCGCTGTCATTGCCATTCTATCTGAATCTTTCACTTACCTACCGATCCCAAACTTAGGCCTCCCGTTGCTTTTTTTAGCCTGCAGCACTCTCAACAGAAGCCAAATCTAATTTTAAGCAAAACAGAAGCCGACTTCTCTCACTCTTCTCTCGCTTAAAGCATCAATATCTATGCTCCTGCTATAAAACGTGGTTGTATCTTATCTCTGAGCTCACCTCATTGATCTCTAAAACACCAAAAAAAAAAAAATGGATGAGAATGGTCAGTCTGTGAGACTGCAGATCGTCGACGAAACGAGTGAAAGCAGCGGTAAGAGAGTCACGGACAGCTGGGTGTCGACTGTGTTCGAGCCTCAGAGCGAGCAGTATCGAATCGACACTATGCGCTGCGCCGAAAACTCTGTGGAGGCTCCAGAGAAGAAACTGACTCTGTTTGCTCTTCGCCTTGCGATTCTTGAAAAGTCTGCGAGCGGGATTGGAGCTCTCGGGTTCATCTGGGCAACTGTCGTCCTCCTCGGTGGATTTGCCATCGCTCTTGATACGAAAGATTTCTGGTTTATTACTGTGATTCTGTTGATTGAAGGGAACAGGATTTTCAGCAGAAGTCATGAGCTTGAGTGGCAGCATCAGGCAACTTGGTCTATTACTGAGGCTGGCAGGTTGGACTTAGAAGCGTATTGCATCAAATTAAATACCGAGCTGTTCATATTTGAATTTGGCTGAAATCGTTGAATTCGAACCTGAAATTTCCTTTTTCTGAATTTGTCCAAATTCAAATTAAGCTACATTTATCTAATTAATATTATATAGCTTCGTGCATTAGGCTTCCCCACTTTCATTGGCAAAAGAGTGTGGTTTTTGAAATAGGATTTAGATTCATAATTAAAAAAATATTATTTATGGTACAAACATGTACATTGGATATTTAGTTAATAAATAAAATTTAGTCTCTAAAATTAGCATAGAATCTAAACTAAAATAGAAATATTCAGAGAATCCAGACATAATATGCGTGTTATAACAGTAGATATAAGGAATCAAATATTACTCTAAACTAAAATATAATGTCTAAATGCTGATATCTGATTCTTGATTTCAGTTAAATGACATCTCAACCCAAATCTGAACGAACAATAATTGAATTATTTGATAATTACTCGACCAACTTCCATCTCTACTTCCAGGTCCAGCTTTCGTGCAATCAAGACCAGCTCTCAATTCATGATCAAGGTTATCAAATTCATATTCAGACCATCATCATCTGCCACCATCTCCGATGACGTCAGAAGAGTCGTTTCAACTCGAAGCACAATTGCCGATTCTCCAACTAGGCGATATTGGAGCTCAGATGACGTTCCTCTTCTGCCCTACGCCAGCTGGATGTTTCTGTCAAGAAACATCAGCAAAGTACTCTACTGGCTTCAGATACTCTCGGCCTGCGCCTGTGTGTCGCTGTCACTAATGAGGCTGAGCCTCCAGGACTACGGTAACATTGAGAGAGACGACAGAGACAGAAAAAATCTCAAGTCGGCGCTCAACATATTCTATGGCCTTGCTCTTGCCGAGGCCTTGTTATTTCTTATTGAAAAAATTTACTGGGAATGGAAAGTCAGCTTTCAGAGTTTGCTGGATGAAGTGAACAATGAGTGCGATTTCGGTCCATCAGGAATGGTATCAATAAGACGCTTCTTCTATGACTCGTACTCGAGATGTGTCAACGGGAGCATCTTTGACGGACTGAAAATGGACTTAGTCTCGTTTGCAGAAGAACTTCTTTCTTCAAGTTCCAGAGATGAACAACTAATTGGCGTACGAATTCTTCATAAATTCGTGACTAACCACCGGTTTGCTGATGAGACCCTTCGAAAGATTGGCACTTCGACTGCAGTCATGGAGAGACTGATTGAGATGCTGAACTGGAAGAACCCAACTGAAGAGGAAATACGCAAGTCTGCAGCAGTGATTGTATCGAAACTCGCAGGAAAGAAGCAGAACGCTCTTCGTGTCGCTGGGATTCCAGGAGCGATGGAATCAATCTCATCCCTACTCTTCACAGGCCGAAGCTCACCCTCAAAGCCTGATGAAATAAGCAATAGAAGCATCATAGTCGATCAGGTTGCTGACTATGAGTCCTCAGCATTCAATCTCTTAGGTCTGCTTATACTGAAGAAGCTCGCAAATGATCATGATAACTGTGGCAAGATTGGGAACACAAGAGGCTTACTCACCAAAATCATCGATTTCACTAGCATTAATGGGAGATTGTGCAGGACGAACTGATCACTTCAAGTAGTAAAGATGCTAGCGAGCACCACAGGCAACACAGGGAGAGTATTAAGACAGGAGATATCAGAGATTGTTTTTACAGTCAGCAACATAAGAGAAATCTTACGGTACGCAGAGAATCATATAATGCTGCAGAAGCTGGGGATCGAAGTTCTGACGAGTTTGGCGATGGACGAGGAGGCAAGAGAGAGGATCGGGGCTACAGGAGGGATGATCAAAGAGCTTCTCAGGTTATTTTTCAGAGAGGGTTGTGATACACAGCAACAGATTGAGCTGAGAACAGAAGCAGGGGAGGCGTTGGCGATGCTGGCATTGGAGAATGAACGAAACTGCGAAAGAATTCTGAAGGGAGAGCGGGTCATCGATAGGCTCGTAGCTTGTCTAGCTGATCCTACAGTAAGAATCAGTTCTATCAGGATCTTGAAGAATCTGTGCGCTTTCAATGGAACTGAATTTGTTTCTCGGTTGCGTGGAGTTGCGGATGCTCTTCCTACTGTGAGATACTCTCACTCCTTGGATTTTGCTTTTTTCTTTTTGGTTAATATCACTTAAACACCCCGGAATTTTAGGGGGGATTTTTGCACACGTTGTTACCCATTAACGGTCAAATGATCGAAGTGCGAGTTTTTAAAAAACAACCCCCAAATTTCAGTTCTTATTTTTTGCAGGTGCTGAATGCGATCATGGTCGAGGAGATGAAGCTGTTGGAGGTTTCGCTCGGGCTTGCTGTCCAAATCTTCAACGTCATAAGCTATGAAGAATACATGAAAGAACTTGAGAAGTCAGGAATTCGAGAGGATCAGTTTGCGGAGAGACTGGTGAAACTGCTGAACACGTACAGTTACCCTTCAATAAAAGTTCCCAGAATCAGGAGGTTTCTGATCGAGCTTGCGATCTGGTTGATGAGATCTGACGAGGAGAAGTACGTGACATCTTTCAAGAGCTTCGGGTTGGAAGCTGAGCTTGAAAATGTTGCAGAAACAATGTCGGAGCTCGAATGCTTCAATGTTTTCTCTGGAAGTGTAGGGTTGAGTCGGCACAATAGAGCTCTGAGCTCTCTGGTTGAGGCTGCGCTAGAGTGGGTACGTGAAGGCTAAAAATTACCCGCCAAAATACTTGTGTATAAAAAGATTTGTTAGATGAGAGTATTGGTTTGTGGTACCAAATTCTATTAATCTGTTCATTGATATGTTGTTTTAATGAAAAGTTATTTCATTCAAATATTCACATTATTCAATTAATAATTATTTTATGATAAAATATTTCATTAAAATGTATTTTTTTTCTATCACATTATTTTTTTCTAACACATATGATGGGTTTGATCCTATGGAGAAGTGATCTCACGTGACATTATTTTACCATACATGAATCTGCCCTTGCTCCCAAGTGTGCATCCTTTGTGTAATTTTCTCTACCAAGCTTCTGCAATTAGTGATGGATAGTCTTTTAGTCATCATTGGAATACCAAAATACTTATAAGTAAGATAAGTAACTTATAAGTATGTTGCCAAGCATACTCTTACGCCTAGTTTGATACGCGAGAATGAAGTCAAGTGAGAATGGAAAGAATGTAGGAATAGAATGGAATAGACGTGAGAATGGAATCCACATTCTCATTCTCATGTTTGGACGCGTTTAAATAATAAAACGGGAATGACAATCTAATTTTTATTCTCACGTTTGGTATCATTTATTCACAAGTGAGAATAAAATTTAGTTTTCTAATAATGCCCTTAAAAAAACACAAAATTTAAAAAAAATTAAAAATATTTTAAAAATGACTAAATAATTTATTTTTTAGAAAAATAAGTTTTATAGAAATAATATTTTTTTCTTAGAGAAATAAATTTTCATGTAATAGTTATATTTTGGCACACCTTTTCGGCAACAATTTCGGACTTTTGGCTTACAAATTGAAAAATAATTTTCATAGAAATTATTTTTAATTATAAATAATTATAATTTCACTTTTCTAACTTCTAGTGCTACATCTCTATTATTTGTACGAGCAACTAATGTTACTAACTTCATTGTACGTTAGTGAAGAAAAGAATGCCTTATAAGAGATATTGCATATATTGGACACTCTTCACAACATCTCCTGATAAAAGAAATTTTGAGATTTCATGTTCGGGGGGAAAATAAAGGGAAAAAGTGCAATTTATCATCCATATGTCAAAATTAATATAAACGATAGTATCTATAGTGTAAAATTTTATATGCATAAACTATCACATTCGACAAATTATTAGAAATATCCAAATTCTAATCAAAATATCCATTAAATAGTACAAGCAAAATAATTGGACAACCATCAAAGTATCAAAATATTAAGTTTTGAAATTGTAAATGATAAACTAGTTTGTCACTCCAAAGTATATCTAGTTTATTAGAAGATATTGGAACTAAGGCAAGGTCCGCGTTAATATACTTCTTAGGAACGAATGAACGATATCAGAGATTTATTAAAAAAAATAATATCACAATATATTGGAACTATGGCAAGGTCAGTGATATAAATTTACTTAGGACGATGTTTGTATATTGGAACTTGGGCAAGTTATATTCATGCTTATATTTATTTATATATTTGTACTAGTAGCGAAGATAAGTTAATTTTTTATAAAAACAATTTTTATAAGGGAATTTATATCTATTTGTATCTTTTAAGGAGGGTATAATTAGAATTTATTTGATTATTTTTATTCATACTTAAGTGGGAATATCAATTCCTTGTTAAATGATTGGGAATGACCATTCCCACATAAAGTGAGAATTGATAAGAAGTGGGAATTTCAATTCTAACATCTAAAAATACATCGTGTTTGGTACGTGGGAAAAAAGAGTTGGAATTGCATTTCATTCTCGCTCATTCCCGCGTACCAAACGAGCCTTAGTGTTCCGGAGAAAGGATAGACAACTTTTATTATGTTATTTATATTACAATTATCTTTTGGTTTATGATGCTAAACAACTGTTAACATTGTTATGTTGTTGCAGACTTGTGTTAAAACTTCGTTTCATTTTTATTAAATTTGACTTTCTTCTAGTTTTGAAGATTTCAGGGTGTCGAATGATGTGTTTGGGAAGGATCATACAAGGAGTGTTGCTTCCGCACTCCAAAAACGATTTTTTTTTTACTAAATTTTTATTTCATTTTATCTTAAGGGTAAATTTGTACTTTTTTTAAACAATCTTCTCCTTCACTGCTCCATACCCAATATTCAGCTGATGGAGAAGATAAAAATAAATTGCAAGATTTTAAAATTTCTGATTGCTAAATTACAAATTTTCTAATTGTTGAATTTGAAAATAGTGTATTCAGATTATAGTAAATAGATTGTCTAAAGTAGTTTAAAAGAAAAAACAAAAGAAAGAATTATAAAATTCGCAGCATCAACACCGATCGCGAATTCAGACACGAGCAAAGGAGTCCTTCTGTTGTTGCCGCAACCACTCCGTGGTGTCGATGATCACGAATCAGATGCGAATAAAGGAGTTCATCTGTGTTGTCTAATCATCACATCAAGAAAGGAGTCCCAAAGGTGAATATCAAAATGAGAATATCTATTTTTCTGCTAAGGTAACTATTTATTTTGTGGATTAACATTCGCAACAGAGACAAAAGATTAAAATCAAAGGTGGCACTAGGGGCACACCCCTAACCATAGCTCAAATCACACCCCCTCTCTCATATGCTGCAGTGCACCGGGCCCCACATGAGATTTTAAAATTTTAAAATCCCATGTGGGGCCCGATGTACTGTAGCATATGAGAGAGGGGGTGTGGTTTGGGATGTGGTTGGGGGTGTGCCCCTATCATTTTTCTAAAATCTAATAAGGACAGGTGAAGTAAAGAGTGACAGAATGATGATGCATGTATGCAATCTCCTCATTAAACTTGTTGCATAGCATTGAATACTTTATTCAATCTTAAACTTAAATTTAAGTATTTGTTTTGCAACTCATAAAAAACAGTACGAAAATCAACCCTGACCTAGTTTTACTCTAAAGCAGTTTTGAATTAAATGAGAGGGAGAGCCCTACAGACAACCAGAGTGAAAGGATGTTTTTTTTTCGTTTAAGGAAAACTAGATCAATTCTCGACCAGTTTCTTTTCTAAATTGAATCTTTCTTAAAATGGGGCCACAACTAATACTAGCCCCATTTGAGAGATTGCTAGACACACCCCAATTAGAACATATAGACCTTTGGACATTACGTTTAATGAAAACTTAATAAAATTTTCAAGTGGTAACTTAACAAATTTACTTGAGTCTACACAAATTAATCTGAAATATATTGGATTAAACTTAGAGCCAAAGTTATTGGTTATATTAGGACGGAATCATGTTAGGATCGAACCGATACAAGCCAATATATGTTTCTCGAAGTAAATCCCCTTATCTTCAAAATATCAATTTACTTGACTTTTGGGGTTCTCATGAAATCCCCTTCAACTTTCAACATTTAAAAAAAGGAGGGGAAAAAAAAAAAAATCCTAGAATCAATATTCACATGTGCGGATAAATTTACATAGGGGGTTATTTTTGACAGTGAAAAATTAAGGGTCATTGATTTTGCTAATTCTTGTTAACCTGCTACGTGAAAATTTATTAAGAATCAAATAAATTATTCATAAAAGAAAAAGAATGAGAATTTACCAATTTTTTATGCATCCTATACTTCTTATGTTTAAGCAATTTTTATCACATGTAAACATGACCAAACAAACGAATCACGTTAAAAAGAGAAAAAATTAAAAATCTACATAAATACTTATATAATATTGAATATGTACATATTTTAAAGCATTTGCGTCTAGGTCCTAAGAACGTCTAGGTGAGCATCTCCAACAGCCTCCCTATCTCATGTTCTAGACTAAATATAAGGAGTAGGAGGGGGGAAAGTTGCTCAGGCTTCCTATGTTGGAGACTAAATATAGAGAATATGATTTGATATTCCAAATCAAGGATAATAAAGTGACTCTCTATATTTAGTCTCAACATAGGGAGCATTGTTGGAGCAACTTTCCCCCTCCTACTCCCTATATTTAGTTATTTAGTCAATGACATGAGATACGTAGCTATTTGGAGAGTATTGTTGGAGCACTTACTCATTATTTGACTCCCTATTTTTTAGGATGAGAGATTTACTCCTCAAATATAGAGAAAACCTAATATCACTCTTGGAGATGCTCAATCTATTCTCAAGACCAAACTCCATCAACAAAGCCCACGGGAACTACGGGTCGGATCCGAACCGGGTTGGCCCGAAAGTTTCCTGATTCTAGCATCACGCGGGAAAAATTTCCCATTCTCAAACCGCCTTTTCTTAGTTGCGTACAATTAACGCTCTGCCTCCTTTTTATATAAATATCCACTTGATTACCCCCCAAAATATCAATCTTAAATCACCTCTCGCATTCGTTCTTCTTCTCTCTGTGATCGATCGATCAAGAACAAGAAGAAGAAGGAATCCGATCTCTCTCACTCTCGAGCACTCAACGATCGATCAATCGAATCGCTGTGATCTCTTTTTCTTTCTAATTTACTTAAAAATTGTTTCTTTTAACTGCTCGCTAACGCTTTCTTTGTTGCAGGAAGAAATTCTAGGGTTTCCACTGCTAATTAGTTTATTTATTGGTTTTTCTTTTAAAAGTTTGCTGCTTTCTAACACTTTCTTTGTTGCAGACAAGCGGACGAGAATTCTAGGGTTTCAATTCTTCCTAGCTTGTTATTTTCCCCTTTTATACGTATTCTGTTAATTTACAATGGATGCAGGGTCTTCCTCTACTGTTAGAGGCCGATCAAGAATTGGGTACCGCTCTCTTCATCCTTTCCTGCCCATCAACGGAAACCCTCGTCCTTACCGACACAATGCTGAGAGGTACATCCCGAATCGGTCTGCTATGGATTTCGGTTTCGCCCGTTATCAGCTTACTCAGTCAGCACCAGACAAGGAGGGGGAAAATGCAGCGACAGAATCAACTTCTCCGTCGTCGAAAGATGCATACCGGAAATGTCTCGCAAAGGCTCTCGGGGTGGACAGAACCCGCATCCTCGCCTTCAGGAACAAACCACCACTGAAGACTCCTCCTTATGCTGAACAGTACTCTCCTCCTCCTCCAATGAAGCATCGAAAGCGGCAGAGGTCCATCCCTCTGAAACCAGAGAGGACCTTGGATCTACCCGGCTTCTTGGATGATTTCTATCTCAATTTGTTGGACTGGGGGAGCAAGGGTGTCCTTTCAATCGCCCTTGAGGATACGGTTTACTTGTGGAGCAACGCAAACGGGGGATCTACATCAGAGCTGGTAACTGTGGATCAAGAGAGTGGGCCCGTGACGAGTGTCTGCTGGGCTCCGGACGGGGAGCGTATCGCTGTTGGGTTGACATCTTCTGACATCCAGCTGTGGGATTCTCAGTCGAATCGCTTGCTGAGGACTCTGCGAAGAGCCCACGAATCCAGAGTCCTCTCTCTTTGTTGGAACGGAAGCATCCTGACATCTGGTGGGGAAGACGGGAAGATTGTCAACCGTGACGTGAGAACTCGATCACAAGTCATCCAGCGATATCAAGGGCATCAAGGAGAAGTCTGCGGTCTGAAATGGTCGAGCTCTGGGGAACAGCTTGCAAGTGGAGGCAATGACAGATTGATCTACATATGGAACCTCTCGATGTCCTCATCAAGGCCTCAGAATCAGAACCAGTGGCTCCACCGGTTTGAAGACCATACATCAGCCGTGAAGGCCCTTGCTTGGTGTCCATTCCAGAGAAATCTGCTCGCATCTGGCGGAGGCGACAATGACCGTTGCATTAAGTTCTGGAATACAAGTACCGGAGCTCGTTTAAATTCTGTCCACACTGACTCTCAAGTGTGCTCTCTTCTCTGGAACAAGAATGGCAGGGAATTGTTAAGTTCTCACGGGTTTACAGACAATCACCTGGCTCTCTGGAAATACCCGTCAATGACTAAGATGGCGGAGCTTACTGGTCACACCTCTCGAGTTCTACATATGGCTCCGAGCCCAGATGGGTCCATGGTAGCATCTGCAGCAGCTGATGAATCACTGAGATTTTGGAGAGTATTTGGAGATCATGATACGCCGAAGCCTGCAGCCAATCCCACAGGTTCTGAGGCTTCTGGTAATTTCAGCAGATATTTTATCAGGTAGATGTCGAGAGGAAAAGCTGGGCTGAGCCGTAAACCTGAAAACTTAGCCTGGTTGTGATAAGTTTGAGGAGAGATTGTACAATTCTCACGTCCTGCAGTTAACTCCTGGGAGATGAAACAATGAGATGTATAGATCGATATGCTTTTGGACATTACATTGTAAAAAGGTAAATATCAATAAAAATGATTTATTTTTCTTTTGAAGCTTGACTTTTGAAATTTGAACTTACAGTCTAAGATCAAATTTTAATATATAGTCTATTTTCTGTCTTTATATCATCTTGTCTATTTGTTGTATCAATATTTATATTCCTTGTCTTTCACTCACTCACACACACACACACACACATTTCTTGTTATACAGATTCTTAGAGCTTTCTGTTTTTCATAGTAGTCGATTAAACTGCATATTAGTATTCAATAATCCAATGTTAGTCATTATTTGACACTTGATAGTTGCCATTATGGATATTCCTGTTTATAGTCGTGATAATGGACTGTCCTGTATATAGCTATTCTCACTTCACACCTTACAACAACAGTCTCATGATTTACATTACTGCACATTGTTTGCTAATATGTTCTTGCATAAGCTATTGTAGACATATACTATTCTAAACTAGACAACATCCATAGAAATTTTAATTGGCTTTGATAATGAACCTTGCCTCTTTCTGGTGGTCACCTTTTTAGTTGCTGGAACTGGCTCAGTCACTATTTTAGCTGCACCCGACTTGGTCACTTTCTGATGGTTCTCCTTAATCTTTCACCTTGGAACCCTTAAATCTATTTCCCAAAGAACATGGCTTCTTCCAGCACCCGTTACCATATTGTAGCATACGCTATCCGAGAAAATGATATTTATAACAATATGAAGTCAAGTTTCCACTCTATGTTCATCTTATAAGTGCGGTTAGCATGAGTTAATTTGCTTTCAGATGGTCAATCTGCTTCTTTAGGATTACTAGGAAGAAAGAGGACACGGAAGGAGAAAAGAGAACTAATTTTTTCTATAAAATTTTCTTTTATTTTTCCTGAGAAACGTGAAACTGAATAAATGAGAAGTCAAGTCACGATCATCGGGGTATTACATCTCCTTTATTAACCTACCTATTTTTGGATATGAATCTCTTCCTCAGGCTTTCACTTGGTGAAGGTGAACGTTGAGAGGAAGCTTTCTGCACAGATATCGTAAACATTGTTTGAATTTGAGAAGGATAAACAAACAATATGTAACTGAGCTCATTTGCAGGGCAGTTCTTGAGCATATTTGTACCTGCTGAAATAACTCTTGTCAGGATCTGAAATCACAACTGTTATTACACGCGGTATTGCCCTTGTTTATCCCATGGTCTTAAGGTTAATATCTTAAGAAAAAAAAGGAAGAAAGCTCTAGATTCATGCTTGGAGCTTTATTGGAATGCAAATACTGAAACTTACGTAGCAAATAAAGGCTTTTTCGTGGTGGGCAGTGAATGTGATTGTAAGTGCATGCGTCAAAGTTTATAAGTAACTTTAGAAAAATATATGTAACTTTAGAATTTTTGCAAAATATGTGTAACTTTAGAAAATTTAAAAAGATGTAAAATGTTTTCCAAAAAAATTAATCTTATTATTAATCACTTAGATACAATTTGCAAGTTTCAGAGAAATTAAAAAAAAAGAGAAATAAATTCTATTTTATTATTAATTACTAAGAATTACAACATTTTGAAAATTATCACATGACAACAGTATGAGTACATCTCAACTAGGTTGTTTACCTATCCATCTATATTAATATAATTTGCAACTCTTCTAAAAACAATTTATTACAGATTTGCGAAAATTTTCTATTCTTTTTTGACTATCATCAACTCTTCAAGTCTTTCTTCAAGAGTAGCTACCCGTTCAATGCCTTAGCATCTCTTTCCAGACCTCCACCAATATTGTAAGCACATAACCTTCTGTAAATTAGACGGATCCAGTGATATTTTGTGGCTATCAATCAGCTGTTTTGATACTCTGAAGGCTCATTTTGAAGCTCTGATAGAAACCTGCACAGGTAACAAACGGCCGGGCTAGGCCAACCGACCCGGGCCAACCGGATAGTCTTCACACCCGACCAAAATCTATCTCATGACGGGCTGGGATGGGTTCTGAAGAAAACAACCGGGTCTGGCCTGGCCTGCTGGGCCATTTTCTAGCCTGGGCCGGGTACCAGGCAGCCTGCTTTTCAGATAGGCCTTTGAATGCCATACAACTTAAGGACCTTTTTGACATTTTAGCTACCAAATTTATGTTTAATCAGTTTTTTGTAAATAATCCAAGGGGCAATAGTTGCTCTGTGGATTGATTGGTGTTTAGGACAGATTTGGCCTTAACCTTAAAAATACTGGCTCGGTTTATCTCCAATGTATATTTTGTAGAGAGTACTTCCATCCTTCACTTATATATGTATCCATAACAAGTGCCAACCTCAATTTGGCCATCCTTGTTATTGGTAATTTAGCAACTGTATCACCACGCAACCAAGTGACCTTTTTACTGCATCTGTACATTATGGACTTTCTTTTGGTTACATACAATGAAGAATGGAAAAGGGAAATAAATTTACAATTGAGTTCTCTAGTTTTGGCAATCACAACTTTCTTAGCGGTGAAGAACTATGAAGAACTCATACTTCCCTTGTGAAGCTGTGGATGTCTGACATTAGTCATGTGTATCTGACATGACATTCTTGCCATTCATTTTTTGTTTTGCGTATTACATTTAGAATTTATTTTGTTATGTCGTCCAAAATCTTCCTCTTGTCGGCATCTCTCTGTTTGATGCTTCTTTAAAAATAGTAGAGAAGGTCACTTGCTTAGTATCATGTCTTGGGGTTAAAGCCACTTGCTACTGAGCACATCACAGGATTAGATGTTCTAAAACCATAATAGTTCGACAATACTGCTCATTACTTACCATTTCATGTATACTGCATTGGCTTTTAGACTTTACGTGGTTTCCAATTGTGGCATCTGCAGCTGAAGATGAAACACTGAGATTGTGGAGAGTATTTGACGTTCGTGGTACTCCAAAGCCTGCAGCCAAGATGAGATATTCCGAGCATTTTGGAAATTTCAGCACATATTTTATTAGGTAAGACGTTGAGGGAAGAACTCTGGAAGGGGATTGATCTTGATCTCATACTTGTCAGAGAGTAAGTTGTACAGAGCCGTGTACTGAAGACTCTTGTTTGGTTTTGATATAGGGGTGAGATGGAACAATTATGGCCTCATGCAGTACCAGGAGAGAAATGAAACACTGATACGTATAATGTAAGTATCAATACAAAGGATTTATATTCATTAAATAAGGTTTTAGTAGTCTAGTTTATGCGACTGTGTGATATTGTTTAGTTGTTTCCTGTACTTCATGAGTTAATCATTTATGTTAGTACTTAAGAGTCATATTTTGTGTTATTTGCTTTTACAGTTTCATTGATTCTTAGAGCTTTCATTGCTTCATAAATTTGAATAAAATGCACTTGGTAAATTGATTTGTAAACTTTAGATGATAGTTAATACTTGATAGTTATTAGTACGAAATTTTTTGTTTGTGATCAGGTTCATAGTTAGGTTTCTGGTTATATTAAAGAAGAGCATATTTGATTTAGTGCCTAGATATTCGTTGAGTTATTTTTATGTGAGCATAGTTGAGTTACCATCCGATGTTTGTTAAGGTCTGCAGCTGGCTTGCTTCTCATTAGAGACGGAACGTCGGGTTAACTAGACCCGAGCTCAATGCTTGGTCAGTACTTCGGCCATCCTTAGCCCCTCAATTAGTTTTTTTTTAAAGATTTGGGGTTCTAGTTAAATTTAAATAAGATTTGGCGTGGATTTAGTTTCCATATTTAAGGACCTCTCTTCATACATTTTGTGTGTCACGATAAGAAGACAAGAGCATGGTCCTAAATCCATAGCTGTTTTCTACAAGCCTACAGCTTCGGTGCTCCATAAAGATTTGTTGGAGCACCGGTGGCATATCTATAAATAATTTCCTTAAAAATAGCTCTCATATTTTTAGGTGGATAGATTTGGCGGTTAGGAGGTGTTCCACACCTAAATTGTAATTAACTATAGGTAAAAAGGTTATTTTAGGAAATACAATTTAGAAGAAAAACAGAATTTATGATTAGTTAGAATTCTTCAATTCACGTTATAATTTTTTACCGTCTTATCAAGTCACGCTCCGCACTTTCCTGTAGAAAAAAAAAACTATTTTGGAGAAGATGACGCTCACGCCGCTCTGCACTCGATCGCCGTCTCCAAAAAATCTCTTGAAGGCCATGAAAGGTAAGTCTTTTTCATTTTTAAAAAATGTTAATTATATAATATGATCTATTGTCTTTAGTGTTGGGACAAACGAATATTAGGCGCCTGACATATAGTTGCAGCAACTTATGCTTAAATTTTTTAATTATTTAGTTTGATGTAGTCGCTTTCGTTGCTTTCGTTGTAGATGTAGTAGCTTTCATAACAGCAACTTTCGGTTAATTTTTTTTTAATTATATAGAATGATGTAGTCGCTTTAGTTACTAAATTAAAAACATAATCTCCATGTTTATAAGCTAATTAAAAGACAGCTACAATTTTTACTACAGAAGTTCTTACAGCTTGCATGCATGCACTTTCTCTATCACACATGAACATATGGCCATGGTGCAAAATTAAAGACTTTTAGTTTCAGTTCATAGTCCAAAGAGTCATAAATTCCATCATCTATTACTTAAAAATTATATGATGCTGAACTAGTAAATTGATGCGATCTACCATATAGAATTGTCTGTGATACAGCTATAAACTTTTATTGACTTCTTTGAAAGAAAAAAAAATAAAGTCACAATCACATATATTTAAGCGATTTATTTAGGAGTTATAATTTTATTTTTCTTGTACTTATTTTTTATATTTAATTGAAATGCAGAAAATGTGAGAGAGGAGTCTATTGGTATTTATTGCAATCCAACAAAAATGTTCAATATCGTAAGTGGCTTAACAAATGTACAAAAACAAGCGATAGTGGATATGGGTTTGGGAGGTATTTTATATATTCCTGATATAAGAATGCGTCGTTGCCTTTGTTATTGGTTAATGATTAAGGTAAATATAGAAACACATATAATTAAAATAAGAGATTATGAGGTGTCACTATCAGAAAAGGATGTCGTTTACTTGATGGGATTACGTGCTGAAGGTGATATTGTTATGCTTTGCAATGAAAGTGTTGACCCGGAAATTTTGAAATATTATGTTGAACCATTCACGAAGAAAATTACAATCCGACACCTTATAAATTGTATTGGTTCATCTGATGGAGCAGACGATCATTTTAAGAGATCTTTTGTGCTTCTATTACTGGGACTTGTGCTAACTCCTATAAATGATCAGGATAATATACCCCAATATTATCTAAACATTCTGGTTGATGTCAAAAAAATCTCTTCATACAATTGGGCTATATTCACTCTTGACTTTTTATTTTCAAGCATTACAAGTCAGAGGAAAAAAAATGCGAAGTACATAAATGGGTGTATGCTTCTGTTACAGGTAAATTCTTTAATTTAAGTGAGCTAATATTTTTGTTTTTACTATTTTATCTTATAATAACTATATATGCTTGTCATTTATATTAGTTGTGGTATTATGAGCACTTCAGATTTCCGGGTAATGACTTTGATTACAATGCTAAAAGTCTTCCAATAATGGCACATTGGACTGAGAAGCGATGTGCATCAAGAGAGAACTATGAAAATTTATTTGGTCGTGCTGATAACAAAATGTATCATGAATTACAAAAAAAAGGTAGATAATTAGTTTGGTTATTGGATTATTTTATATTATTAAAACCAAATGTGCATTATTAATGTTCTTTCTTACAGCTAGTAGTAGTATTTGATTTAGCGATGCCTTACATGCAACAAGAAACAACTCAGGCTTCAGAAGGACAACATACAACAACATCCAATCAAAAGGTATGTGAGGTTTAACTATTGATTCTTTATTTAGATTTAATCTAGCTTAGTACCCACTTAAACTTTTTATTATATTTAATTTTATCTTTGTAAATATGTTTTTAGGAACATTATGCTACTTTTGAAAATAAATTCAATGGTCAAGCTGGTCAAAGATTGAGGCCAAATCATGGAGAAGAAAAAAAAGAGGCGAAGGAGGAGAAGGAAAGAGACGAAGAGGACGAGGAAAAAGATGAGGTTTCAGATGAAACATTTGATGACATTGACAAACATATGCTATCATTTCGTATGGCTTCAGTTGAACGGAGTGTGCATTGCTTAGAAAATAATATAAAAAAAATTATGCTTGAAATTACACAAGCTATCTTCGAGATGAGAGATGATGTTTCCACGCTCAAATCCGACATCAGAGAAAGCAAATTATATTCAAAGGTTAAAATTTTGGTTATGCATTATATTACTTGTAAACTTCTTTTTTACACATATCCTAACTTAATTTTTTATCATCTCTGTTTTTAGAATCATATGCAGAGAATTGAAGAAAAATTATGCAATATTTGCATTAGTCTTAGGGGCTGTTTGGTTGGCTTCCTAAAAACCAAAAAAAAAGGAAATTGAGTCATGGAAATCAAAAAAGTGCAATTTCCACCATTTCCATCCCTAAAACTAACCCACAACATCCAATAAAATATTATTTTCATCATACAACTCATCCACATCATCCAATAAAATATTATTTTCATCCAACAACTCATCTCATATCATCCAATAAAATAAACCAAACAACTTTTATGGGTCACATCATCCAACTCATCTCATCTCCATCTCATCTCATCTTTAAAAATAACTCACATCATCCAATAATATTGTGACAATTCATCTCATCTCATCTTCATTTCATCTCCATCCATTTCCTCCAAAAAAACAAGGAAATTGATTTCCTTAAGTGTGGGTCACATCATCCAATAATATAATGACAACTCATCTCATCTCATCATCTCCTATTTTTAAGATTGAACCAAACACAAGAATAGGACCTATTATAAGAAATAGGTTTCTTATTCTTTGATTTCCTTCTTTTTTAGCCAATCAAACAACCATCCAACAACTTTTCTTAAAAAATCACTCACATCATCCAATAATATTGTGACAACTCATCTCATATCATCTCCTATTATTTGATTTCCTTCTTTTTTAAGCCAACCAAACAACCATAAAACAATTATTTAAGGAAATAGGTTTCCTATTCCTTAATTTTCTTCTTTTTTTGGGCAAACAAACAGCCCCTTAAAGGAGAATCATTTGAAAAAGAAAGGAGAAATCCACTTAGCCATGGTAGTAACGTCGGAGAAAAAAGTGTTCATGTAGATTTAAATATGGAACCTCTTAATATGGATTCAGAGTGGATGAATGGTGAGACTTATGTGTCACCTCATCATGAGCAAAGGGAAAGAAGCAAGAAGCCTCAAACTACATTAGAAAATATGAAACCATTAAGAAGTGTACAGAAAAAAATGTCATTTGCACAAAAAAAATCAAAGGAAGTTGAGGATACTATCAACATGTGCCAACGTAATAAACATTCACATGAAGAGAAAATCATATCTGCTTTTCAGGGAGCAGAAAAGGAAGATCCTGACTTACTACCTCCAGGACTTACACAAGATGAAGTTATTGCTATAACTTATTACAAGGCATGTGTAAGTAAAGGAGAGAAAATTAAGTCTTTTGTTCAAATAGGTGATATCATTCTCACTGGAGAATATTTGAAGCCTTTGCTTGCAAGTGGAAACTTTGGAACTGATGCATGGTTATCAAATGAGGTACTTATTCTTTATTCTATACAAAATCAAATGCATTTGTGGTAATCATAAAGTTATTATTTGCATTGTGACTTTGGTTTGGTGAATGTAAATAGTAACTTGGTGAATTAAAATTATATTTTTTTAGATAATTAATGCATATACATATTTGCTTAGACTATGAAGCAGTAATCAGAACTTCGACAACAATAAGATTAGATATCAATCATGCTTCGCGTATGGCTTGCTTCAAAGAAATGTGCAACAAGGAGTAACATCATCATTTCACATCATCATTTCATAATATAAAAAAATATGCTAATGATGTTCGTGACATAATGTCATCTGATATGGTATATTTACTATTATGTTTATATTCCCTACAAAGTTTCTCAAATATTTCAGTTGATAATTCTATGACTAATTATCCATGTTTTTATAGGTGTTTTTTCATACAAATAGTGAAGGAAATCATTGATATGTTGTTGTTATGCTCCCTCAAATTAGGAAGTTCCAAATCCTAAACTCGATGCTTGGTGGAATGGTTGAATCACAATACAAAACAGTTAGCATGAATTTTGTAAGTACATACTAAATACTCACATTCATTATTTTGAATGAATAAGTTTGACCATTGTCTCTTTTGATATCTTATATATGCAAGGAATCCAAGCATGTATTGAAGTTGCAAAATTACAATCCCCTGAGATGGTCACATTCTTAAGACATGTAGATATTACTACTTGGGATTGGACTATAGTTCAGGATATGCCGCAACAAATTAATTCGTAAGACATTCCATAAAGTTTTCTTCAATTCCATATTTTATGATCCTATAATGAACATAGTTACATTTTGTTTTTATTTTTTATTTTTTTTTTGAACTTGAACTATTAGGATTGACTATGGACTTTATACATTAAAGTTTATGGAATATTGGGATGGAAGTCATATGAGAGTTGATATAAGCCCGGTATGTACATGTATGAAAGCTAAATATTGTCACCTTGTGTACTGTATTTACTTGTGATTGCTAATTTTAATGATTTGTTTGTTGACTAGGCCTACATTAAAAGGTTCCGTAGAACTTTGATTGCTGAATTCATTCTATCCGAGTGGAACCAATGTGAAGATATAAAGAAAGAGATCAAACTTATATCAAATGCTAAAGCAACGAGATGACTGAACATGTTTTGTTGGATTTGCTGAGTAAGACCTGTAATCAGTTGGTTGCAATTAAGAGGGTATCGCTGCAGAGGAGATCAAAAGTGATACTGGGACTAATCAGTTGGAGAGAAATCATATATGAATTTTTTGAAAAGGCGTTGAGTTATATTAATGAACTCTCTATGACATGAACTATATTCTTCTTAATATCATCAGAGCATCTATTTAATCTATATAGTATATATACAGTAATAGTTGTGCGCTATATGTTGCTGATGATCTTCTACTATAAATACAAATATCATCACTATCGTTAACTAATGTATGCATAAGTGAGTTGTCAATTCAAATGACTCAAAAGTGGTACTTGTCCAGGCGATTAAAACCTTATGATAGTTGTCAATTCAAATGACTTAAAGTTGTCAATTCAAATGACTCAATGTAGTATATAGTAGCTCCACGTATTACCAGAATTAGCTGGCAACTACTGTGGAGAAGAATTGAAAAAAGCAGTTTTTTGGTCATAAGTCGACTCATGCACAGGCATAAGTCGACTTATGGTAAGTCGACTTATGTTGGTGCATGAGTCGACTTACGTTCTGTTCTGGATTGTTGGTTTTCGCTCTGCCAAGTCGACTTATCAGGTCTGATAAGTCGACTTATGATCTCTTCTCCAGTTGCTGTTTTTCGCTCTGCCAAGTCGACTTATGCAGACTGATAAGTCGACTTATGACGGGTTTTTTGGAAAGTTAGAGTTCCTATTTGCAGTCTGTTTGGGTTTCTGTTTTGGTATAAATACCAATACGATTTGAGGGTTTTGTAGGAGCAAATCTGGGGATTTTGGAGCACAGAAAAGAGAGATCTTTCTGAGCTATTTGTTAGGGTTATTGGTTGAGAGTTTGAGAGATTTGTTGGTGAGATTAGTTGGTTCGTTTGAGCGATTTGTAATCTCAATTTGTACTCTCCTTCTCTATTAGTGAAAACCCACCCCCCTTCTTGCCCCGTGGACGTAGGCAATTGCCGAACCACGTAAAACTTTGGTGTTTGTGTTTTGTTTGGTCTTTCTCTCGGCGTTTGTTGGTTTGGTTTCTCAAAGCATCATAGTTGGTTGTTTGTTTGGCTTCCGCGCCGTGCACAACAACTACTACATAATTACCACATGAAAGAAAGAAACAGAGAAATTAATGCTTGAGACACACTTCTAAGACATATGATACATTCATCGGTTCATCCATCACAAATCCAAAATTTGAACCATATTAAGTTTAACAGAATGAAAGAGATAGCTTGTTTGCTTTCTTTTCATTATAATGAATCCAATAAGCAGAATAACATGTCAAAAAAACTAAAGTTTAAGACAGAATAACATGAGAGTGTAGTCTAGCTAGCATTATTCCAAACACAAAAAGCAGAGTCCAGAAATTGTAATGATCATAATCTAATTAGAATTACCCAGTGTCATTATTCACATCTTGTTTGTCAACGTTGTTTACTGAAATACTTGGACAGCTCCGAATATTATGACCTTATTGGTTGCACATGCCACAACGGTTAGTTCGTTTTTCACTGTATGCCTTCAATCTTTTTCTGGGTGCGCCTTTCGTCTTTGCTCGGATGGGATCTAGCACAATTGTTGTATCTCCATCCTCATCTACATTTATCTCACATGTTCCATCATCTGAGTTATAATCATTATATGCTTCAGATTTATTTTCCTTCAGTTTAAATGATGCTAATTTGCTATCAAGAAAATTCATAAGCTCAGAAAATTGATCTTCGGACTTAGCTGCCTTATAACACACTTGTTTTGCTAGTTTCAGCAATTTTTGGTTTCTAATTGCATGATCTGAGACTTCATTCACTGTGCCATGTCTATCAGAAGCAAATCCAGCTTTAACATTTTTAGTCCACCGTGGCCAAATACAACACTCCGGAAATGATGTAATATTTAGATATTTCATTAAGGAAAACATATGACTGCACGGTGTTCCTTTTGTTTCTAGTTGCAAGCATTCACATGCTAACTTGACTAACTTTCCATTTTCCCATTTACAACAAACTATTGTGCACACCTCTGGATTTGAGTCAATTGCGATAACAAAGTTGTGAAGTCCGTCCACAATGTTGTGCCCTACGATACAATAATTTTTTCCTTTTTGCTTGTCAATTTGAATTAGATCAAAAATAGCAGGTGTATAAACATCAGCAACATATAACTCTAGTTTTCTTGTACAAGTTCTCAGATATGGAGTAAATTGGGAGGCTTTAGAGTCATCTGTTGCCTCGTTTCGGCGAGCACCTGATACACATCTATCATAGTGATGAATCATATCAACAAGAGTCATGCCATAGTTGAGATATTTGTGTAGAATAGAATTTATACTTTCACTGCGTTGTGTGCTTCTAAGACCTAAGAAAGTATGCCCATGTAAGTAGGTAGCAGCCCATAAATATTTTTTTTCATACATTCTTAGTAGCCATTTTTTCTCTTTATTACCTATCTTATTAGCAAGAAGCTCTTTCCACTTATTTTCAAACACTTCAGCTGTATATTTTCTTGAAATAAGGTCTTGGAAGACTGCTCTAATCGAACGATTTCTTATATTGTCATATAAGTTTTTTCCTATATGCCAAGAACACAACTGATGCTTTACGTCTGGAAACTCTGTGATTATAGCTCCACGCATGGCACTATCACCGTCGGTAATGACAGACAAAGGTTCTTTTTGACACATCACCATCTTAAATGCCTTCAACAACCAAATATAGCTCGCAGTTGTCTCATTACAAACTGCTCCACATCCAAATATTATTGTTCTCCGGTGATGGTTTAAACCAATAAATGGTATGAAAGGCATGGCATATTTGTTTGTTCGATAAGTACTGTCAAATAATAAAACATCACCAAAAGCTTCATAGTCAACTCTTGATTGAGAATCAGCCCAAAACAAATGTGTAAGATGGCCTTCATCGTCAGTTTTATTCAAATAGAAAAAATCTACATCTTTCCTTTTTCTTTATTCCATCATATTCAATACAGTTTATGCATCTCCATGTTCTATTATTCTTCGTGATATTTTACCCCACTTATTATAAATATCTTTTCTAATAAAACCAACCTTCTCATAATCTCCGTCTCTATACTCCATAAAATCCATAATTTTATTTTTAGGAATGCCACATTGTGCTAGCATATGAATTTCTTCCATTTGTACATCATCAACTCTTCATTGAGAGCGAAGAAAGGGAACTTCATCTGGGCCTGCAAGCTCATGATTATGCATATCTGATGCGGCATAAACATGTACCAAAAAGGTTGCAAGTGCACAACCGTGTCAAGTTATAGTATTTAAGATATCGATCCCACGAGGAAGGTGTTTTGTAGGAGAAAATATAAAATCGGTTCTTATGTTGTGTGCGTGACAAATAGGAGTGATGAGTGAATGTGATTGTGGAGAGATAGAGAGAGTGGATGTGACAAAGAATGAATATGATCAATAAGGCAAGAAGGAAAAAGAAAATAAAAATCAAGAATAAAAGAAAATGCAAGAAATTAAAGATAGTGGATTCAAGAATGAATATGATCAATAAGGCAAGAAGGAAAAGGAAAATAAAAATCAAGAATAAAGAAAATAAAATTCAAGAATAAAAGAAAATGCAAGAAATTAAAGATGGTGGATTCAATTATAGATATGGGTAATCTAAAATTAAACCCACTTCTTAGAAGAGGGTGATTCCCTAGAGGGTTCTAGCCTAAAGGCGAATCAAACAAAATAAAAATAAACAAAAAGAAAAACTAAACCCAAGAGGGTTCTAGCCTCAAGGTGAATAGTATAAGAAATTAAAATCTAACTACAAAATAAATTGCAAAATCTAATTACAAAATAAAATTACAAGAATTAAATGCAAGAAAATAAATCTACTCTATAAGCATGAAATAAATCTAAGGCAAGAGGGTTCTAGCCTCTTGGTATTTAACAAGAAAAATAAAATCTAATTACAAGCATGAAAATAAATCTAACTAATAAGCAATAAAAGAGAAATAAAAGAGAAAAAGGAAAGAAATGCAAACCTTCAAATAATTCTCCATCTTCATCTTCATCTTCATCATCCAACAAAGAGAAGGAGAGAAAAATTTAAAGTGGTAAAAAAATTATTATTATTAATTGTAACTAAAGTTACAATTTTTAGAAGGCCTTCTCAATTAAGAGTAGCCATCCTCTCCAAATAGAGTTTACAAAATTTTCACACCTCTAACCCCTCACTCTCTACCCCTATTTATAGTAATCTTCAATGAATATGAGCCATTGGATTTGTCTTGAGCCCCAAGCAACAATCTCCACCTTTGAATTTGCTTTTTGTATTTCTTTAGCCCAATCTTCATTTTATTTTCAAAAAGAAATTGAAAATCCGGCCCATATCAATTCATGAGAGCTCCAATTGATTAACAAGTCCGGCCCATATGAGAGCTCCAATTGATTTTCGTTTGATCAAATCCGGTCTTCATGCAGTAAATTTCATTTTTCATTTTTGCTTTAGCAAATCAATGTCCGGCCTTTAGATGTTTGCAGCACATATTTGACCACATCAAATCCGGCCCAATTCCAACTCTGAAGCTTGTTTTCCATTCATTTATTTGAGAAAAATTAATCATGCACACGAATTGGAAGTCCGGCCCAGTCTTGGAGAAGAAAATGCAGCAGTCCATTCATGAGGCCCATTCAAAAACCAGCAGCACTCAAGTCCGGTCTTGGAGTTCTCATTTGATTTTCAAAATAAAAGATGAAGAGATGCAGAAAAATCCGGCCCATTTGATATTTGAAAACCTTGCTGCAACAACCGACCCACTATCATTTGATTTTCAATCAATTTCTCCGGCCCACATTTGTTTTGCCCAAAGATGAAGTTCCTGCAGCAACCATTCTTTGTCCGGTCCTCTTCATTTACAATCCAAATCTTTGCATAAAAACCCAATTCATTCCAATTATTTGCAGCCAAGTCCGGTCCTTAGGTGTAGTCATTTGTTGATGGGCTTTGGGCCTTCAAGGAGCTTGATTTTGTGGCTTCTAAAATGCTACAAAATAGAGAAGAGAGATTTTGAGGGTTTTTTACATTTAATAATATTTATTTATATTTTTATTCAATTATGTGCAAACTAAACTAATAACACTTATTAATGGTATATTTATTCATGTAAAATAGATAATGAGGGTATAAAATTATAATAAAATATGATTATCAAATACCCCCACACCTAAACTTTTGCTAGTCCTCTAGCAAAGAAAATAAAAAGAAAATCCTAACTCACTTTCGCAGGAATCGCGGTTGTATTTAGCGCATACAACAAGCCTTTAAACCCCTAGGTTACCCTAGTGGACGAGTTGTAGTCTCGTGAGGGTTTGCAGTGAATATACCCACAAAATTCGGTCAACTTGCCAAATTAAAGAAGTCAGTAAATAACTAAATTCACTTGATAACTTTTAGATAATCTAATTGGAGCCAGTTATCACTCAAGAAAACATTTTTATATATAACTCTAAGGTATATTTTTAAGAAAATCTTCTCATTGTAGCAATACAAAACCAAGCCAAACTTAGAAATTTAATTTAAAAGTTTTGAAAAGAACATGCTAACTCTTTGTTTTAAATAATTTTCAAGTTGCTTGATTTAAAATATTTTCCAAGACCATATATACAATTATAAAACATTTATTAGTTTTTTTTTAACTCTTTCTTTCTTGGTGATTTTTTTCTACTTTAACGGGCTTTCTAAGTGACCATTTAACGAGTTTTGGGCCAATGGATCCCAACCCAAATGGGCTTAGGTCATTAAGTATGGAAATACTCCTTGGGCTTAATTACTCGGTCAGCTTAGGCTTTATAAGATAGAATCACCTTGAATTCAAGAGTTTTTTTTTTCTTTTTGGTGCCATTTTTCGCACTCTTCTTTTGTATTTTTTTTTGTATATGTATATATATTTTGAAAATATGTAAATCAAGACACTTTTGAAAAATTATTTTCAACTCTAAGTTAAGCATGCAAAAATTTTATTATTTTAAATAAAAGTCCAAGTTAAGGCTTAAGTAAAGTATACTACTTTGAAAATCATTTCTTAAAAAATTTAGTTAGAGTTATCATAAAAAGTGAACTTAAGTAAATAACTAACTAGGGATTAGAAAATTTTAAATTTATCAAATAAATCAATTATTACATAACTCTATTAATTTGGCAAGTGATGATATTTTTATAATTTTTTTCTTTTTTTTAAAAGAAAAAGGAAAAAATGTAACTAAAAATGTAAAATAAAGAGAAAAAAAATAACTAATTCTCACCCCCACACCTAAATTTTGCATTGTCCTCAATGCAAACTCTATGATGCATAAAGTAAAGCAGATAAGAAGTGAAACACTTACATTTGGTTCGCTGATAAAAATCTGCAATTACCTTTGGTCTGAGGAGGAAATCAAACATTTATTCTTTTCTTTTTTTTCTTTTTTTTCTCTTTTTTTTTCTTTTTTTTAACAACTGAACAAGAAACTCTCAAATGAGAGAAGAATAAATTCTTTTTATTATTCTGAAATAAACAAAATAAACAATGTAGAATGAAATATTCAACATGAAGAGCTCCTGTTCTACATTGAATCCTACCTTACTGTTGAAATTTCTTCCCCGGATTTTAAACAAATTCAGAATGATATAATTAATAATGTGAATTTCCAAGCATTTCGGGGTGTTCAGTAATTCATGCAATAAGGTAAGGTAGGTATTATTGGTGTCATGCATTTTGTATTTCTTAATGAACTTAGACTCTTGTACTGTGTTATTGGTGTCATGCATTTTGTATTTCTTAATGAACTTAGACTCTTGTACTGTGAAGTTTTGTTTTCCAATAACCAATTCTTCTGTGGAGTTCTGAAAATTTGGTTGTTGATTATTCTCCAAGAATCTAAGTTCATCAAGAAAGAGTTCTTCAAAATTTAATTCAAAGCAGCACATGTGTAACAACGTTTTATTATTCTCAAGGACCTGATCTGCTTCTTCTAAAAATTCTAACTCTTTATCAAAAATTTCCTCAAAACTCAAATCACACTCTTCTTCTTCTTCTTCTTCTTCTTCTTCTTCCTCTGATCTTTCCTGAATGTAGTTTATTTCTAGAGGCTGATTATTTGGTTGGTCCCCTGGATTAAAAATGTTGAGATCAGCAGTCAAATTCCCAAAGGACAGCTTCATTTGACCAGTTCTACAGTTGATGAGAGCATTAGAAGTGGCTAAGAACGGTCGTCCTAAGATGACAGGTGTTGGAAACATGCTGTGTTTCCAAGACTACAAAATCTACTGGAAAAATAAAGTCTCCAACCTTAATCAAAACATCCTCTAACTCACCCATAGGGACCTTAACAGATCTATCAGCCAACTGTAAGGTGTATTTGGTTGGGTTCAGTACACCTAGACCCAATTGCTGGTAGACTGAATATAGAAGCAAATTGACACTGGCCCCTAAGTCTAAAAGCGCCTTATCAATGTGAGTATTACCAATGATACATGAAATGATGGGGGAACCTGGATCTTTACGTTTCAAAGGTATGGGATTTGACAGCATTTCACTGATATTGGCGGCTAAAAAGACTTTCTTTGGAACATTTATTCGCCTCTTCTTAGTGCACAATTCTTTTAAAAATTTAGCATAAGATGGAATTTGTTCAATTACATCTAAGAGAGGAATATTGACCTTAACCTGCTTGAATGTTTCTAGGATCTTCTCCTCCTGAGGAGAGTGTTTCCTAGACCTGAGTCTATCTGGAAAGGGAGCAACCGGTCTAAATCTATCAAAAGCAGGCTCAGGTTCGGGTTCAGGTTC